TTGAGACAGAGTCTCAAGCTGTCACCCTGGGTAGAGTGCTGTGGCATCACAGCTCACAGCAACCTCCAACTCTTGGGCTTAAGCAATTCTCTTGCTTCAGCCTCCCAAGTAGTGGGACTACAGGCACAGTGCCTGGCTATGCCTTCAAATCTTATCTCACTTTAAGAATATTGGCTTGGCGCCTGTAGCTCAGCAGTTAGGGCATCAGCCACATACACCAGGGCTTGCAGGTTCAAACCCAGCCTGGGCCTACTAAACAATGACAACTGCAACAAAAATATCACCAGGCATTGTGGCAGGTGCTGGTAGTCCCAGCAACTTAGGAGGCTGAGCCAAGAGAATCGCTTAAGCCCAAGAGAGTTTGAGTTTGCTGTGAGCTGTGTGAAGCCATGGCACTCTACCGAGGGCAACATAGTAAAACTATCTCAAAAAAAAAAAAAAAAAAAGTGTTAATGGTACAGGATAAGCTTAAAATAGTTTTTCTTGTCTTATTTGTCTATAAAGTGAATACATTTGAATAGTAATAATACACACATTGGCTAGATGGCTCAGAGTACCATTTTTTTTCCTGATAAGGTATATTTGGAACTTAATCATTTTGGTAGTAGATACCATTACATGGTACGTTATTTAACTGCATTAAACTATTTGGAGAAAAATACACTTAAATATTTTCTTCCACTTTCAGCAACTAAGTTTATAATAAGGAACTTTTGGAAAAAGATGGTCTGGGCTGGGTGTAGTAGCTCATGCCTGTAATCCTACCACTCGGGGAGACTGAGGTAGGAGGATCCCTCGTTAGAAGTTTAAGAGCACTATGAGCAAGAGTGAGACCCAGTCTCTACTAAAATAGAAAAATTAGCCAGGTGTTGTGGCAGGCCACTGTAGTCCCTGCTACTTGAGAGGCTGAGACAAGAAGATGACTTGAGCCCAGGAGTTTGAGGTTCTTGTGAGCTAGGCTGATGCCACAGTACTCTAGCCTGGATGCCTAAGTAAGACTTTCTATAAAAAAGAACAATAGAAAAATTAGCTAGGCATGCTGGTGCATGCCTCTAGTCCTAGCTACTTAGGGGCTGAGGCAGGAGGATCATTGGTTGCCACTGTATTCTACCCAGAATGACAAAGTTAGACTCTATCTCAAAAAATATAGAAAGAAGGAAAGGAAAAGATGGTCTGTTTCCATTATGCCTTTTTGTTTAAATCTGTCTGTTCTCTTCTTCCCTTATCCCCCACCACCACCATCACCAAAAGACCTCCACAGATTTCTAGCACATATCATAAGAAGACTGTGTACACATTAGCCTGGGGGCCACCAGTACCCCCCATGTCACTTGGTAAGTGTCTGAACCATTTTATTTTTTTTCTTTTTCTTTTTTCGTTTTTATACTTTTTTCCCCCTTAGAAACCATGGCAGGAAGTCTGAGCCCATCTTATAACAAATGTGAGTATTCCATTTCTTTCAGTTTAATCCTGGTATATTAAAGCTGGATAGAGTCCTAAATGTTGTAGTGCAGTGACTGCTTATGTCCCCAGGGGTTCATAAAGGCAGTAGTGGCAAGTTAGAAGTCAGGGTCACTGGGAGAGAGCACCCAGTAATAATGAGCTTCCCCACACTCTAACTAAAGCCATGTTCCTTCTCCGTAAACTAAACTGTTTCATGGCCATGCTGGATCTTGATAATGGTCCTCACTAAAACTTGCTGTCAGTTTTTCCTTTTATCAGAGTTAGGATGTTGTTTTAGTATTAATGGAATAATGATCATTTGCTTTCACCCACAATTAAAGCAAACCTAGTATTTCTGAAATGTCCTCTTTTTTTGATCAGCGTTTTTCCCCTTTCCCTCTTCTAACACCTCAGCCTTGTCTTTCTTATCTCTAAAGTAATAAGTGTTTTGTAATATCTTTTAAAATGAGTATATTCAACCAAAGTTTCTAATCAACTTTTCTAAGCATCTAGGACAAAATTTCTGTGATCACCAGAACTTGAGCAGTATTGGAATTCTGAATGAATTTCATTCATTCAATGAATGTTTATTGAATACTTCATTTGTTGTTGGCAGTGGTGAAAACAAAACTTGCCCTTTCAGAAACCTACCAGAATCACTGTTAGCTTCATAAAAATTAACAAGAGGATTGCTAGAATACTAAGGAAATAACTCCTTTGAGGACAGCTCTGGAGTTGGTCTTAGGAAACTCCATAGTCCTGCAGTTCCACGTATTTAAATGCCCAAAGAATAGAGTACTCATTTCTGGAAGAAAAAGCAAATTCTCAAAAAGCTTTGTTTTAAGACTGTATGTTTGTTTTCCGATCCCAGAATTAGCCCACCTCTATTTTGAATTTTAGCCTGCCTCTATTTTGAATGTCAGAAGAATGTTTAAAGCAAGTATGTTACATCAGAAATCACAGGACTATACTTTTTTTACTTCTCCCAACAATGGTGTTCTGATGGAAAGAACAATGACTTTATTCCAAAGTATTAGAATATTTTAAATATAAACTTATTTTAAAACAACTCATAGAATGATACGGTTACACTATAGCAACAAATAGCTAAGCTGCGGATGTACGAAACTGATAAACTTTCTTTTCTTATCTCATAGGAGGAGAAGGCGATAGACCTTCCCTTACTTTATATAGCTGTGGAGGAGAAGGGATTGTGTTACAGCATAACCCCTGGAAGCTTAGTGGAGAGGCCTTTGACATCAACAAGCTCATCAGGGATACCAATTCAATCAAAGTGAGTTCTTGTGGTTCTAAAGTCTTTCTTGCTCGACCTCAATATTACAGTTTGCTCTGGGTTTCCCATCTTGCATAATAAATTCCAGTATTAGAGATATCATGATAGTCAGATTTCCTAGATGTTCTTACAAAGGTATAAGTGAATTTGTGGGTTATAACATATCAGAAGTCTTTATACTTGAACAAAACTACTACCAAAAAAAATTTTTTTTCTTAGATGCAATGGTGATTTCTTATTATAAAGTTTCATATTTTGCATATAAAATATCCTTTTCAGGCCAACCACTTTAACCAAAGTGATTCTGTAGTAATAACAACTTACAGATAGTATGGTGTCCAAATGGAACTACAAAGTGTTTTTCTCAAAAAAAAAAAAATGTCATTTTGTTTTTGATTTTTTTTTTTTTTCTTTTGCAATTTTTGTCCAGGGCTAGGTTTGAACCCGCCACCTCTGGCATATGGGGCCAGCGCCCTACTCCTTTGAGCCACCCAGTTTTTGATTTTTTAGAGAAATAATTTTAAATATATACCAAAAAAATGAAGAAATAATACAAATAATTCCCTTATATATGCCCAGATTCCCATGTTTAATTTCATTTGCTTTACCTTTCTACCAATATATCTGTATGCCGGATTGTCTTTAAAAGTCAGAGCTTACATGTTGAGATTTCCTTACCTTTTCAAATGAGCATCTGTTTAATTTTTGCTCACTATTTTTGTATGGCTAGCTTAAAAGTAACATTTAATCATAATTGAAGTATATTTACTGGTTATATTCCTTCATTATCTTAAATATTATCTGAACATTAACATTCAACAATAAAAGAGACAAAATTCCTGTTCTTTTTTTTTTTTT